AAGCCAATCTCCTGACATGAACCTCATCGAAAACCTCTGGGCCATACTCGACCGGCAAGTTAAGAAACAACCAAAAAAACCAACTTCGAAGAGCGATCTACTCCAAGTTTTGAAGCAAGAGTGGGCGAAAATCCCACAATCTAAAATTGACGAGATGATTCTCACAATGCCCTAAAGGATCAACGAACACCACGAAGCAAAAGGAAGATCTACTAGATATTAATTAAATTATAAATATATCAATTCATGTGAATATGACTAAAAAATTTTATTTTTTCTGAAAAGGTGGTGTCTATTTACTTGTGACCACGCTATGTATATCAGTTAAACTGTTTTAATTCTAAAGCAACAACAACAGAAGTGTGGGTCTTACTACAAAGTAAAGATTGTAAGAAAGAAAAATATAATATTCTTATGTAGTACTGATGCTAGTAGTATTACATACAAATCACACAAGTTTATCATTCAAAATACTGAATCATATTATTATTATTATGAACTAAATATAAAATTATGCTAAATTATTGAACTTAAAACTACTAATTTAAATGCAAAAGAATATACAAATCACAATCTCTTTTAGTTCAAAGTGCTAAACCTAATTCATGTAAAGACCTTGCACTTGCCAATCGATAGCTCTTAACCCTAACAATCGTGTATCAACTTCTTTCCTAAAAAAATATATCTATTTTGAGTTAATTTTTCAATATAATGATTAATATAAATAGATATACGATACAGCATGACTTAAACTACTATAGAAAAATAATAAAAGTCACGTACATCCCATGTAGTTTTTTCCAGAAACAAGTTTTCTAACGCTTATAGAAAAGTACTATTGACCAATACTAAATACAACCTCTACATAAAATGGCAGTTACTATAATAAGCACCACCCACATTCATATTGTAAAATCCATAGAACAACGTTCTATCATGTGCTCTGCTTATCATCCTATGATTTGTCAACTGTGAAATACAGCTATCGGAATAACAGGGTACTGAAATTGACACCTTCGACTACGATTAGCTAAAAGTTTTACAACCGAGGTTTAATACACCAAGATGCTGTTTTATAAAGAAAACAGACTAGAAAAAGGTTTAGATACCAATCATAGATGGCAGGACCAGCACTGAAGTGGAAGGAAAAACTTTTTAAAAATTTTGAAAAAAATTTTTTTCTTAGAAGGCACTTATTTATAGTCTCAAACGTATTTTTGAATTTTTTTTATCAAATTTCTCATTACACTTCATTGAATAATACAATTTTGTACAAATAATTGAATGTTATGCTACTATTTACAAAACTAAAATCTGAAATCCAATAAAAGATAAGTTCTCTTTAATTTTTTCAATTCACAAATGTGATTTCGCCCTCACGATAAGACAAAATGGCCACAGCATGTAATGGGTTAACTGCTGAGAGCACTCACTGAGACTTAAGGAAATATTCAGACTTTTGTAACACACACACACATATAGGCAAACCTGATTCTCTCACAGCATTCCTAGTGATATCATTAACTCCAGGATTAATATAAGGTGTTAGAAAAGCAACATTTTCTTCTTAATCCCTGTTCTTTTTATTTTGTTTGTCCTGAATGGTGAAAATTCTGTTAACAATCTTTCAGAATAACCATTCGATTTTAAAATCTCCTGTAGATCTATCCTTTCCATCATTAAATCAACAGGGTTTTTACAAATACGTGAAAGTCTCATTAACTAGCTTAAAATCATAGCACTCTTCATAACCCATGAGTGATGAGATAGAAAATGAAGAAGTAGTGGCTTTTATGAGAGATTTTTGTACATGTTACTAACCACCTTACCATCCATTACAGATATAGAAATGTCTGTGTGTGTATGTTTTCTTTTGGCCAAGCCACATTGGACAATCTGCTGTGTACACCGAGGGAAATTGAACCCCATTCTTACTTTTTAAGCCTAAATTGTATGATTGTTTTTATATAAGTTATAAAGTGGTTGTTTTTCTTTTATGTAGGTAGTAATCCTCAAATTCGGACTTGCTTTTATTTATCACTCACTATTGGTTGAGTGACCTTATGTTTGTCTCATTACAACCCTGATTGTAGTAGAATTGAAAATGGGTAAAATTGCTCATTTGCAATAGGGGATTAAAGCAGTAATTTGTGAAATTAATTATAATATTGTTTTATTTTAATTTAATATTTCTGATTTTGGTGTTATTAGGCAACTGAAGAAGTAATTGCCTGTCAGCTGGTTTGGTGCATAAATAGTTTAGAAAAATATGTTTTTAAAAGTGGTGGATTGATCCCATGATTAATTCAGCATTATTCTGCCTGTTTAATTCTAGAATTCTAGAAGTGAAAACTTTACAGTTTGGTCTGTGGGGTTTTTTCAACCATTGTGTAGGTTGTTTTGTGGGGTTTTGTAACTTTTGTATATGGATGCTTTTGTTTGTAATATTTACATTCAAATATACTCTACTTGGTGAGCACTTATAATTTCGAGACACTTCTATGGGTCCCCTGGTGGGACAGTGGTAAGTCTTCAAATTTACAATGTTCAAGTGAAAACTCTTTTTTGATACTTGAAAAGTAATTGTCTAAAATTTTTATGAAAGGTTCTTAAAAGTATTTATTGGTTTAAACCTTTCACTGAGATATAAGACACACTACATAACTTTTTATTCGACCTTGAAAAGTCTAGTATTAACTATATAAGAGTTTGGAATTTTGTACCACTATCAATAAGGGTTATTTCCCATCAAAGCTCCTAAATTTCCTAATTCCAAGTTTCAGTTAATTAACAAAAAATTTAAATGCATTTTTATACTAAATTCTCAATAAACCTAACACTGGGAAACTTGTTCATCTATGAACCTGGTACTGGGAGAGTTGATCATCTATAAACCTGGTACTGGGAAAGTTGATCATCTATAAACCTGGTACTGGAAGATTTGTTCATCTATAAACCTGGTACTGGGAGAGTTGATCATCTATAAACCTGGCACTGGGAGAGCTATTTATCTATAAAACTGGTACTGGGAGAGTTGTTCATCTATAAACCTGGTACTGGGAGAGCTATTTATCTATAAAACTGGTACTGGGAGAGTTGTTCATCTATAAACCTGGTACTGGGAGAGCTATTTATCTATAAAACTGGTACTGGGAGAGTTGTTCATCTATAAACCTGGTACTGGGAGAGCTATTTATCTATAAAACTGGTA